TTCAATAAACTGAAAGTTGATTTTCCCCATATATTGACCGATCTTTGCCCGAGTAGAAATGTTGATGACGTTATATTTCATGAACAGCTTAGGTGCATTTTTACCTTTTTCAGTGCGAGTGTGATTACCATCTCTCTTGCATTTTTACTCTAGCATGCAGTCTATGGTCAATCAACAGAGCCGATCGAGGCAGTTCTGCCTACAAAAGTAATTTAGCAAAATAGCCTAATTGTTACCGTTGATGAGAGCGGTGGTGGTGGTGGGGGGGGGGGGGGGGGGGAGGCTGTGCAATCAGAGCACTGAGTCACGTACATATAGAGTCTACATTGTCTATAGATTCAATATAGGACTTATAATTATGATATACATGACTGACATTGATATACATAATAGGTCAGATACTAGTATTTCAACAATGTGATTGCTATCGCCATCATCTGAGCTATGAAATGACCAATTCATGTACTTGACCGGTTGACCACTAATTCCAAGGAGTTTATGCCTAGAGTTTATGTTCCGCCGTTCTTGGGTAGCTAGGTAAACAATGTACAGGTCGTTCTGAGAATCGCAACTTGACGAGCGGAGGGAGGCTAGCGGAGCGGATCGTGTTAGTGTGTGTTTGTATTGGGTTTTTACACACGTGTAGTGGTGTGTGCATATTAGCCTTCCTCGTCGCTGGAGAAGCAGGCTTCGGTCCCCGTTTCTTCCCTTCCATGTTTATGTCGAAAAGTATTAGCAAAGCCAGTCGTTTAAAACCGTTAAAATGTCACTCTCTAAATAAATCGAGATAGTATAATTATGGCAAAAGTAGAACCAGAGTGCGAGCAACGACGATATAATCAATGAACAACAGCTGATGAACGCGAACGATAGGGAGGCAACAAAGTGTGTACTCTGAAATACCGTGGATCGATAATAATAATGTTGCTTGCCTGCGCATTTAGCGGCCACGAGAGGGAGGCAGAGCGGTAAATTTCAGAGCCTAAAACAATTCGAAATCTAACCGTCGGAACTCTCTCACCGGACCACGAGAGAGTTCTAATTTACCAAATATATCAATTAGTAGGCGGTTTCCCGGCAATTTTTTTATCATCATGTATTAGTCAAAACATATTCTTTCGCATGATTGGTAATGAGAGCTTCCATTTCATTTTTTGAAATTGGGGCGTTACCAATACTGGTCTTTACCTTTAAGCCCTATCGTCAGTAGCTCTGCCGGGCATGTCGAAAGGCTCAAGAGGTGGCTTGTACACTGAGCTTATGGCGATTCCCATAAGGTCAATAGAAAAGACTTCAATGTTATTGTCATCTGATAGGGAAGATTTGTCCACAGCAAGACCATTACGGGCAAAAATTGCGCTTCCGTACTGGTCGCGTGGTCTCTCTGCGATGAGGGTCATTCCGGGGATACGAGGGCGAACTCGTGTAGGCCCGCGATGAGTCTCCTGGAGGCAGAGAATGTCACAGCTGGTTGTTATGCATAGGTCAGCCAAGAGTTCTTGTTTGGCGCCTGAAAGACCTTCAATGTTGGATGAGATGATACTCAGGGCCGGTCCTGACAAGGACCCATGAGTTCGACCCTGAGCCCCAGCAACAAATTGGTCATCATTGTCATTGGTAGCCATGGTGTTGGCTGTGGTAGTTACAAAAAGAACTTGGGTATTGTGGTTGAAGGATTGAATATGTTGATGACAATAGACATTGCGGTACTTTTTATAAGGAATCGTCACATGGCAGTCACATGACAGATAAATTCATCAGTACCAGGCTTTATAATATGAAAGCTGAATTGATGATAGATGAAGAATTGAAATGGTCTAAACAAATCGAAAACGTAAGTAAACTTACCCAGAAAAACATTAGCATGATAAAGAGAGCAAAGAGTTGTTTGCCTCAAAAATCCTTAAAGTTACTTTATAACAGTCTAGTGTTGCCACGATTAGATTACTGCTCTGTTGTATGGTCGAACAGATTTCAATCTCATACAACTAAGCTGCAAAAAATTCAAAAGAGGGCCGCAAGAATAATATTGAACAAGACATATGACACACCGTCGGCTGATTTGTTCACAAGTCTGAAATGGATGACACTAGACAAGCGGTTTGAGTTAAGTCGCGTTATGATGATATATAAATGCGTTCATAACTTAGCACCTTCTTACCTTCAGGTAGGCTTAATCAATCCTAATGATGTGCATGAGCATCATACAAGGCAAATAGACAGTGGATGTTTACGTGTGCCTAGATTTCACACTGATTGTTATAAGTGTAGCCCAATTGTTTCTTCCATGTTTGAATGGAATAAGCTAGATAATTCGCTGAGAACGGCTTCCTCTGTCAATTCATTTAAGAGATTGTTTAAACAAAGTTGTAATTTGTGAATGGCTCAGCCGAACATACACTACGTGCATGTTCTGTAATATTAACATGACTTATTCACATAACTGCGACTTAATTGATATTTTCCTATTGACATTACTGTTTACTAGGTTAATGATATATGTTTATTTTGCAAACGAGTATTATTTTTGTAACTGTTCTGTATAAATGTTATAAACGATGTAAATATGTTCATTCAGGGCCCCATGGAAGACCACTACTTGTTGGTGAATGGGCTACCCTGTCAAAAGAATAGAAATAAATAAATAAAATAAATAAAAAATTAGTACTCCCGTCCCTACCACCACCCTCCCTCTGTTCTCTCCCCATCTTTCCCTTGCACAAAAAATCAAATTCCATTCAAATGCTATTGATTAAATTCCAATCAAATAGGATCATTCTCAATGTTGAATAACATTGGATAAACAATTTTAAAATTATAGTGTAACATATACAATTGAGAGCAGAAATCGAGATGACAACAACCAGGAAAGGCAAACATCAACATATTACTGCATGGAATAAAATACAGAGATGAAAATACCATTTATTACTAAAAATACTTATTGCAACTTTTTATCTTCAATTAAAAAGGAAAATGATGGTAAAACGAGGAGATGAACCAAAAAATAAAACCCTTTAGGGAAAAGTAAGCATGGGATGATAATCAATAATGTTTTTTTTTTACAATTCTAAATGTTAGCGAAATTATTAATGTGGTAATAATTAATATTTCATATAGGAAAAAAAAGGGGGAAAAACATCAAAAATAAAACAACAACAAAAAACAATGATTATTTTGTTAACGGTAGGAAGGGGTTTGTATATTTGTATGTTAAAAAACTATTTGTCAGTAATTCTGTTGATTTATTCCAAATATTTGTATTAAGTTTATGTTGGTTTCGTCATAGGAAATTAATAGTTTGCATTTCTCATCGACGTTTAGGTTTTGAAAGTCCGGTGCTATTTGTTAAGTTTAGAGTATATTTAGAAATTGTTTCTTTGAAGTGTGTTCATTTTGTTAAAAAACTATATTTCATTTTCTATGTCAGTTTTACAAATGGGGCATATTCTATATATTAGTGATATTTTCTTTGTCCCCAACCTTCCTCAATCATGAAGTTACTATTGCTTATTCTTTTTGTGTGTATTTAGCTTCATGTGATTTATCAATACCGAGTAATAAATAGTTTTCCAATTCGTAATTTGTTTTTAGGATTTCATGTTCTAAATCTTGAAGAGTATTAAGTATTATTTTCATTTTGTGGATTGTCTTACAGCCTTATATATATTTATCTTGTAATTTGTTCAGTATAGCTTTCTTCAACATATTGATAGTAAATGTACAATTGTTCTGCCAGATATGAGAGAATCCTAATAAGTTTTAACAAGATTTAATGTGGATGCCATATTTGATGTAAGTTTATTTTGCTTTCAAGGTAAGGTTGCTTTACTAAGCTTTTTCGGAGGGGTTTATCACGTGATGCCAGCAGCAAACAACATCTGCTACTGCTGTCCGTGCGAGGGGGGGGGGGGGGGTCGTCGGTTTCCTCTAGGATGGCGCTAAGCCGCTAATCATTGTTGATATATTGGTATCAATGATAGCTTCTTAAATTGTCAATCGTAGGGATTCGGGTATGAATGTTTTGTAGCATCTGTCTAATTTTTTCGTATCTTTTATCAATAAGCCCCATATTTCGGAATTGTTATGGAGGATTGGTTGTATACAGGTATCGAAAAGTGTTAAGTATGGTATGAAGGATATTCGATCTTTAGGAAAATGTTTCGTAGGCTAAATACGGCTTTTGCGGGCTTTGTTGATTAGGTTTTTATCGCGTGTGTAAACGTGCATGATGGTGTGAAGATAAATGCAGGTGAAAGTTAACCCTTTCATTATTTTGTTTGGCCTGCAAATGGGACATAGTACCTTTAACAAAAATACTCTCAGAGTTTGATGTATATTGGCTCATTGAGTCACCTATTCAAAACGGTAATCATTCCGCTAGACGCATAGAATGGTATGATTTATTGTTATGGCCTCGAAGTACAGATTTCTTGTGATTTAACACGTACACAAACGTTGGGTTCGTCCTATTTAATTCAGTGATTCTACATTGTGAGGTCTTTCAGTTGCTGCAAGTATCGCAACGCTCCATGACAGATGTCGAAGTATTTTGAGAGAGCACTATAAACTGCTCATCATTTTACAGGTGTTGTCATTGATTATCAATTGTATATTGTAAAGCACATTGGGAGGGAATGATAGATTACTATTAATAAGCAGTTTAACGCATGTTTAATTATAAAAACAGGCTATTCATTTTGTCATATGCACACGATTTACTAGAGAAATCATACAATTGTTTTTGTTATCGGGTCAGACCCTGTGGCAATTTGTTGTTTCAAATGAATATTATTTCCTTTACTTTTTGCACATTACCTTCATTATTGTTCGGTTTTGCTTTCACAGGGTTTCGTTTTCTTTATAAATCGTAACACATCTAAGGGATAATCATGGTAGACAAGGATGCTCTGTTCGATGAACTGTCAAAAGAATTTCCATATGGAAATTATACAACCTTTTGCAATAAAATGGGCGTAAGCTACACTATAGCTACGAACATGCAGAGGTCTAAAGAGGATACCACCGTGGCTCTGAGAGAACTACTATCTCAATGGGATCTAAGGATGGAGGGCGTCACCAGGAAACAACTTGAAGATGCCCTAGCCGGAGCAGATGTCGGTGGACTCTGTTCCATTGTGAAAAAACATTATGAAAAGGGTAATATTCAGATATTCCTAATATGATCTATTTGTTTTTAATTACATAGAATAATAAAATAACCTATTCATTTTACCGGTGTAAATTTTGCGATGATGCAAACTTGAACTAATCACACCATTGTGATTTCAACATAAATATTAAGTTAGATATATTCTAAACATGCAGCAGTGTTTGGTACAACTTTCAGCTTTAAATTACGTCTGCAGTATACACAACCAAATTGCAATTGCTTTATATTGTTAGCAGGTTGAGCAGAAGTATAAAAAAAGCGTGATTCGGAACAAAACCCATACTAAAAATTAAAAAACTCAATCCTCTTAGAATTCTAATACTGACTTTGGTTGCAGTTCATGAAGAGCTATCAAAGAAACTGACTTGGAATAATGTCAAAATATTTATTACACTTTTACCTATCGCAAACCGAGTATGTGTATATTTTTCTTTTTTGTTTCATGAATTAGAAAGGCATTTAAAATGCATATTTAAATAGACCAAAACAATGACAAATAATAAAATGATAAAGTAATACGTAGTCTACTTGGTCTCTTTTTGCAGATTCCACCGACGTGATAGCCGCCACGAGATTGATAGCCGGAGATGGCGCTGTTAAAGATACTAGAAATCAGGTTATCAACCAATCAGAAAAATCGGACTCAGAACATACGAATAAAGAAGGTATTACATACAAAGTCAACACTCTCTTTTTAATAAGTTTTGTTTTTACTTTTGTTTCTAGCTTCTGCTTCTAAATCTTCACTTCCTTTATTTAATATGTATGCTTCTGTCAATTCATGATATTTCTCTTTCTTCCCAATAAAAAAATTCAGGTGGATATCAAGTTAATATCAAGGGAATTAATTGAAGTGATTTATGTTCTTCAAACAGTTGAAATTTACGTGAGTGTGTTAATTCATTTATTTCACTATGTCACTTAAAAAACACTTACATAAAACCACGCAATTGTCACTGTTATATCGCCATTATAATAACGTGATTATCCCTGCTTTGGAGACCATGGTTTTCAAACCTAATACTCCTGTTTTTGTTCGGTTATGAAATTACATCTTCACGAACGAACTAATCAAATTCTTAAGAAGTTTTTAACGCGTCACAGAAACACGGAAATATTTTCTTTAGTTATATAGATTGATGAAATAACCTGGACATTATACTATTGTCATTTTGCAAGGATGCAACGTTGAACTAATCACACAATTGTTATTTCAACATGAATATATAGTTATATATGTTTTAAACATGCATCAGTGTTTGGTACACCTTTAAGCTTTAAATTACGTTTGCAGTATAAACACAGCAAAATTGTCCTTGTTTTATATTGTTAGCAGGTTCAGCAAAAGTAAAATAGGGTGATTACGAACAAAATCCATACACAAAATTGAAGACTCGATCCTTTTAGAATTCTGATTTTGATTTTGGTTGCAGACCACGAAGAGTCGTCGAAGAATCTGACCTGGCAATTAACATGTCAGCATATATTTTACACTTTTACATATCGAAAACCTGAGTATGTGTATATTTCTCTCGTTTGTTTCATGAATTAGAAAGGCATAGTGAGAATACATGTAGGTATGTAAAATATATAGATAGATCATAACAATGACACATTACAAAATGATGAAGTACTACGCGGTCTACTTGGTCTCTTTTCACAGCTTCCTGTAGCATGGTAGCCGCCATGCCAATGGTAGCCAGCGATGTTCAAGATACTACAAATCAGGTTATCAACCAATCAGACCGATCGGACTCAGTACAGACGAATGAAGGAGGTAACATACATAGTCAACAGCCTCTTTCTAATCAATTTTTATTACACACTTGGTTTTCTCGCTTCTGCTTCTGTCTTCCTCTTCTTTTATTTAATTTGTATACTTCTGTCAATTATTGATCTTCTCTTTCTTCCCACCAAACAAATTCACGCGAAAATCAAGCGAATATTAAATTAAAATTAAATTAAATTAAACTTCTTTTATAATGTTCGCAGGTTTCGCAAAAGTAAAATAGCGTCATTCGGAACAAAATTTATACTAAAAAATAAAGACTCGATCCTCTTAGAATTCTAATTTTGAATTTGGTTGCAGTCCTTAAAGAGCTATAGTGGAATCTGACCCGGCATCATCATATGTCAAAATATATTTAACACTTTTACCTATTGGAAACCTGAATATGTGTATATTTTTCTTGTTAGTTTCATGAATTAAAAAAGGCATATTGAGAGTACATGATTGATCATTAAATGCATATATAAATAGATCATAAAAATGACAAATTATAAAATGATCAGGTAATACGTAGTCTAATTTGTCTCTTTTCCAAGCTTCACCTGAAGTGGTGGCCGCCACGAGATTGGTAGCCGGAGATGGCGCTGTTCATGATACTAAAAATCAGTCTATCAACCAATCAGACAGATCGGCCTCAGGACATACGAATGAAGGAGGTAACATACACAGTCAACAGCCTCTTTCTAATCAGTTTTTATTCCACTTAATATCTTTCTCCTTCTGTTTTCATCTTCCTTTATTTAATCCGTAAACTTTTGTCAACTCTCGAACTTTTCTTTCGTTTATGTATGAGGTTGTTAAAGGACAAGGTCGGTTCATTTTAAGTTCCTTCATCCTCTGTCTCCCTCTCGTCTCTATTTAGAGGAGTCTCCTGCAGCACGTTGGGCGGTATATGATATAATGGTGTTTCTTACTTTGTTCATCTGATCATAATTTGTCTCCGGGAAAGGCCGTGCTGCCTTCCGTTTACATTTTAGGTGAACGTGTACTTATATTTGCTCACCGGTTTATCTTTATATTAATAACACGTAAAACTAATAAATAAAACATATAAATAAATAATAATAATAAATAAATTTAATTAATTAATTAATAAATAAATATAAACAAATACTTGTAAATTGATTTTTTGTTTGAAAGCAACAATCTTTTGAAAATAAATGTAAAAAAATCAAGTTCAAAAGAATCTTAAACTTTTTGTAATTTTCACATCGATTTGAAGAGATATTTCCCGACTAAGGCCAATTCACATTTTGAAACGAGTTAATTTGTCTAAAAGCGGAATACAATGAAAGAAACTGAATTGCAAAAGTTGTAAATTGAACCAACAGCAGAAAATGTGAATTTTTGAATCATGTCATCACCTTATACATTATATATTTGTGAAGCTCATATTGGCAATTTGATCAGTGGATTGTGACGTAGTTTACGGACAACTCTCCTGTTTGTCGTTAAACAATACTATTAATTTATGTTTTTCTCACAAGTACCTCTCATAGGAGCATTTTCCCTTGGTGTACTACTCAAAATATATTATGGATATCATATTATATCTCCTTTTAAAACGGAAGAGACTCCCGAGTAACTCATTTCGACAAATTGACATTTTAGTCATTCCGTGTGATAAAACAAATGGGAGAGATGTCCGCCAATATACATCCGGTAACATTACCGATTCAGCCAATTTGAAGTTTCCTTTCGTCATTAACGTATAGCGATTGCAACTTTTCAAAACTAAAAAAGCTTTTATTGTTTATCCTATTTCGTTTAAAATTTCGCCAGACAGGTTCTCTATTTGTGTTCTGCTTCATGTCAGAGCAATTTGCCATTAATGTTGGAGTTTTCCTTTGAGCGTGTTTCCAGCCCGTTTCATCATGGGGAAGAGGAAAAACATCGGAACAATGAAAATTGATGTATTCGAACAAGAACTAATTACTAACGGTACCCTACTAGGTCGGAAAGGGAAGGGGCTGATATTGCAGGAGTGCAATAAGACATTTTGTATTATATGCTTGTATCGTTTCAGATATCTACAGTGAGAAGATCTCGGAATCCATGACTGTTCAGCAATGTCGCAAAAAGTTGGAGAACAAGTACCTGGATCAACTGTGCAAAATTCAAATGACGCCATGGGATCGCAATGACTATGCTGATATCGAAGATATGCATACAGTGGTCACAATGCTGCCGAAGAAGATCGCTCGTGGAAAAGAAAAAAAAGAAGAGGAAATACACCAGGTTTCTGTTGCCGAAATATTTTCAACGAAAGTAAAAGGCAAACTGCCAGCTCGAATTCTCATATCGGCCCCCGCTGGAAGAGGGAAGACCACGGCTGTTGCTAAGATGGCTTACGACTGGGTTCATAGAAAAAAGGGGTCAGCATTAGAACACCTGCCACTTCTGTTTGTTGTGAAATTCCGAAACACAAGTCAGCTTACATCGATCGGAGAAGCCATCAAATCACAGCTTTTGAGTGATGTTCATGATCTCACCCCAGAGGGCCTGGAGAGTTTCATCAGAAAGAATCAGGGCATCTGCCACATTATTCTAGACGGACTAGATGAATATGCGGGTATTTCTTCTTCACAACGAAGCTCAGGGAGCAATATTATGCAGGTCGTCTGTTTAAAGGAATTTCCAGATTGTCGAGTCCTTGTAACAACACGCCCTCATCTAGAGAACTTCTTCGATCAAGATGATCTTCCAAGGGTATACACCAAGATGTGGATCGAAGGCTTCTCGCCAGAGAGCTCATGCGAGTACATCAACAAGTTCTTTGCTTCGACTTCGAATCCGTGTAAGGGACAGAGTCTGAAGGATTACCTTCATGAAGAACCACTTATTGATGAACTTGTTAAGACACCCTTATTTTGTCTCATGATATGCCACGTATGGAGTGAGGGCCTACTGGACAGTGATACTACAACTCAAACAAAATTGCTGGACAAGGTGAATGTTTTTCTAATGCACTATGCAAATGAACGATCGAATTCAAGTATGAAAATCACACCAGAAAAGTTAAAGAAAATAATTAATCAATTAGGCGAAGTTGCCCTTACGGGACTGCTCGACGATGCTAAAAAACTAGTCTTCACGCTTCATGATTTCCATAAAGTTCCCGCAGCCCTTGATAGGGCATGTACGCTTGGAATATTATCCAAGACGACTGTTAACATCACATGCCTTCCTCAGTCCATCGAGACCACGTCCACTACCATTGAGTTTTATCACAAACTCGCCCAAGAACACTCGGCTGGGAAATTTCTCGCTGATCAAACAAGCGGCTTTCTGTTACCATTGAAGATTTCCAAATTGGATAGAGTACTGCGCAAGATCAAAGCAAACATCGGTGACTACGAGAATCTTATCCGATTCACTGCTGGCACGGACAACAGCCTTTGCATACGAATAATGGAGGCTCTCCTTTCCAACCGCTTTTTGGATGAGAGCGAGCGATATCGCATTCTTCTTGACTGCTCATCAGAGACCAAGGGTACTGAAGGAAATGTGTCTTCGTTGGTTCAAAGATGCGTGACTGCACATAGTATTGTTCTCAAATCACCAACTGTCTACACCGTCGTTGGGATGCAAAATCTTCCGAAGCAACTTAAACATGAGGTATGCACATTTTCATTTCACAAAATGTCTTTACATATTAATTTCATAGAGGTTGTTTAAGTTTTCATTTCTCTGCCACAGCTATAATTCAAAGAGTTTTAAAGACATATTGATAAATCACACTGCATGATAAAATGATCAAGACGTATGAAACTTCATCTTTATCATTCCATGTTTGCTCGAGTACGACTTCAATCAAGGTACTGCATTCAAGAAACAAGAAGAACAATAAAAAAAATTAACAACAATACGATAGGTTATTGGGCATGCCTATTCATTTAGGGAAAATGACGAGACGCAGTCATGTAGCCTATGTTAAATAAAGGATCTGTACAATTAACATGGAAGAAATTAATCTAATATTTATGAATGTAAAGGAGTTGGCGAGGGAGCTTCCATTACTTAGCGAATATTCTCGGATAAGGTCATGCCAACGTCTCGATCGATTTCTTTTTTACCATATGGCTTTAATTCTTTCTTTCTCTTTCACTCACTCCTCCTCTCTCTCTCTCTCTCTGTCTGTCTATCGTTCCCCCTCTCTCTCTCTCTCTGTCTATCGTCCCTTCTCTCTCTATCTCTATCTGAACACCAGGTGAAGACATTAAAGATCGAGGGGTCTACTCTAACGACCGACGTGACGAATGGACTATGGTCCTGCCTCGGATCATTTTCGAAGCTAGAAACACTCAACATCTCAGAAACCTCGCTCAGTTTCCCTCCATCTCCTCCTCAGCTTCTATCCGTCACAAAGCTATCAGCCGAGAGAATGACGCCACAAAGCTACGAAAGAGTGCTCTCATCGATACCTGGAGTGAGCGATATCGATGTCTCTATCGACGTTGCAGAGACGAGCCAAACTTCTCAGATCACCACCGCCTCCAGACCTATGGGTCAGACCAGGGATAGGGGTGAACAGTCCTTTGTTCATATCAGACTTCACGCCTGGTCTACACTCACAACAGACATGGAGATTAAATCAGGAAGGTCAATTGGAGGGCTCAGTCTTCTATTTGAGGACCAAACCAAAAAACAGCAGCGGCTGCATGTGTTCGGGTTGAAGGGCAGAGACGAAGAAGCCTTGGTTGACATGTTTGTCAAGACTAAACAACTAACGTACTTGAATTCGGAGTAAGCAGATCTAGATCTAAATCTTAATTCATGTTCAGATCGAGTGCTTTTATGTCGCTTTTTAAGACAACATTAACACAAAATTATATATTAACATTTTATTATGTGGATATTCGTATCATAATTGATAACATAATCATGATTATATTTGTTGTTATCACTACCATTATTAAAATATGATTATTATCTTTATTGCTTTTGTTATAATTGTTGTTTTCATAATAACTATGTAAAGAGGGGATGTACAATTCACTTGCTGTTTTATTATTTATAAAATGTAATATCATTTCCCAAGACTTGCTTGAATTACGTTCTGTCCATTTCATATATTCTTTGTAGGAGTGAAGGTGGTTCTCTAAACAAAAATCACTCCATCCAGGTGAGTAAAATCATTCGATATATGTGCATGCCTTTTTGCTTTAAAATATTCAAGAAAGGGATATCCTCTGAATTGAATTATTAAAGACAATTTTGTTTTATGAAATAATTATTTCAAGCCTTGTATTTTAAGCTTCAGTGGTACGGAATTCTATATACCTCAACACGTTTAGTCTCAATATTTAAATTGATGCATATGCAAGTGACAAGTACGTCTGTTTGAATTTCATTGCAGAATACTAGGCTTCAGATACAGCACTGTCAGCTATCTACTGAGATGACCGAGAAGTTGTGGTCCTGCCTCAGATTCTTCACGTCACTAAAACAGCTCAGCATCGCAGACTCCTCTCTCAGTTTCCCTCCGTCTCCTCCAGAGCTTCCATCCGTTACGAAGCTATCCGCCGAGAGAGTAACGCCGCAAAGCTACGAAGCAGTGCTCTCATCGGTACCAGGTGTGAGAGAGATCGAAATCTCTATCGATAATGCAGAGACGAACAACTCTTTTCAGATCACCACCGCATCCAGGCCAAATGGTCAGAGCGGGCTTAGGGATAAACAGATCTTCGTTCATATCAAACTACACGCCTGGCAAGGACTCACCACCGACAGGAAGATTGATTCAGGAGAGTCAATTGGAGGGCTTAGTCTTCTATTTGAGGACCAAACCAAAAAACAGCAGCGGCTGCATGTGTCCGGGGTGAAGGGCAGAGACGAAGAAGCCTTGGTTGACATGTTTGTCAAGACTAAACAACTAACGTACTTGAATTCGGAGTGAGCAGATCTAGATCTATATCTTAATTCATGTTCAGATCTAGTGTTTATATGTCGCTTTTTAAGACAATATGAACACAAAATTATATCTTAACATTTTATTATGTGGACATTCGTATCATAATTGATAACATAATCATGATTATATTTCTTGTTATCACTACCATTATTAAAATAAGAATATTATCTTTATTGCGTTAGAAATGTTGTTTTCATAATAACTATGTAAAGAGGGGATGTACAATTCACTTGCTGTTTTATCATTAATAAAATGTAATATCATTTCCCAAGACTTGCTTGAATTACGTTCTGTCCATTTCATATATTCTTTGTAGGAGTGGAGGTGGTTCTCTAAACAAAAATTACTCCATCCAGGTGAGTAAAATCATTCGATACATGTGCATGCGTTTTGCTTTAAAATATTCAAGAAAGGGATATCCTCTGAATTGAATTATTAAAGAAAATTTTGTTTCATGAAATAATTATTTCAAGCCTTGTATTTTAAGCTTCAGTGGTACGGAATTCTATATACCTTAACACGTTTAGTCTCAATATTTAAATTGATGCATATGCAAGTGACAAGTTCGTCTGTTTGAATTTCATTGCAGAATACTCGGCTTCAGATACAGCACTGTCAGCTATCTACTGAGATGACCGAAAAGTTGTGGTCCTGCCTCAGATTCTTCACGTCACTAAAACAGCTGAGCATCGCAGACTCCTCTATCAGTTTCCCTCCATCTCCTCCAGAGCTTCCATTCGTCAAGAAGCTATTAGCCGAGAGAGTAACGCCGCAAAGCTACGAAGCAGTGCTCTCATCGGTACCAGGTGTGAGAGAGATCGAAATCTCTATCGATAATGCAGAGACGAACAACTCTCTTCAGATCACCACCGCATCCAGGCCAAATGGTCAGAGCGGGCTTAGGGATAAACAGATCTTCGTTCATATCAAACTACACGCCTGGCAAGGACTCACCACCGACAGGAAGATTGATTCAGGAGAGTCAATGGGAGGGCTTAGTCTTCTATTTGAGGACCAAACCAAAAAACAGCAGCGGCTGCATGTGTCCGGGTTGAAGGGCAGAGACGAAGAAGCCTTGGTTGACATGTTTGTCAAGACTAAACAACTAACGTACTTGAATTCGGAGTAAGCAGATCTAGATCTAAATCTTAATTCATGTTCAGATCTAGTGTTTATATGTCGCTTTTTAAGACAATATAAACACAAAATTATATATTAACATTTTATTATGTGGACATTCGTATCATAATTGATAACATAATCATGATTATATTTCTTGTTATCACTACCATTATTAAAATAAGATTATTATCTTTATTGCGTTTGATTTGTTGTTTTCATAATAACTATGTAAAGAGGGGTTGTACAATTCACTTGCTGTTTTATCATTAATAAAATGTAATATCATTTCCCAAGACTTGCTTGAATTACGTTCTGTCCATTTCATATATTCTTTGTAGGAGTGGAGGTGGTTCTCTAAACAAAAATTACTCCATCCAGGTGAGTAAAATCATTCGATACATGTGCATGCGTTTTGCTTTAAAATATTCAAGAAAGGGATATCCTCTGAATTGAATTATTAAAGAAAATTTTGTTTCATGAAATAATTAATTCAAGCCTTGTATTTTAAGCTTCAGTGGTACAGAATTATATATACCTCAACACATTTAGTCTCAATATTTAAATTGATGCACATGCAAGTGACAAGTTCGTCTGTTTGAATTTCATTGCAGAATACTCGGCTTCAGATACAGCACTGTCAGCTATCTACTGAGATGACCGAGAAGTTGTGGTCCTGCCTCAGATTCTTCACGTCACTAAAACAGCTGAGCATCGCAGACTCCTCTATCAGTTTCCCTCCATCTCCTCCAGAGCTTCCATCCGTCAAGAAGCTATTAGCCGAGAGAGTAACGCCGCAAAGCTACGAAGCAGTGCTCTCATCGGTACCAGGTGTGAGAGAGATCGAAATCTCTATCGATAATGCAGAGACGAACAACTCTGTTCAGATCACCACCACATCCAGGCCAAATGGTCAGAGCGGGCTTAGGGATAAACAGATCTTCGTTCATATCAAACTACACGCCTGGCAAGGACTCACCACCGACAGGAAGATTGATTCAGGAGAGTCAATTGGAGGGCTCAGTCTTCTATTTGAGGACCAAACCAAAAAACAGCAGCGGCTGCATGTGTCCGGGTTGAAGGGCAGAGACGAAGAAGCCTTGGTTGACATGTTTGTCAAGACTAAACAACTAACGTACTTGAATTCGGAGTAAGTAGATCTAGATCTAAATCTTAATTCATGTTCAGATCTTGTGTTTTTATGTCGCTTTTTAAGACTACATGAACACAAAATAATAAATTAACATTTCCATATATGGATATTCTTATTTGTTATTATATTACCATTATTATGATATGATTATTACCATTATTGCCATTGTAGCATTATATCAATTTACCTATGTTAAAGGTTATACAAAGTTTCGGTATGGTCATGAATTTGGTTCAAATGAACATATTGGAAGCATATGCGATCCTACAATATTCATTGATCGTTGTCGCGGTTGAAATCGAGTCTAAAGTTATGAAATTGTAAATAATAAACTCTTTATGTTGTATAGCTCCCTCTGAAGGTCAAGATATTAATTAATTTATTTATGATTTGTTCAGGTTTTATTTAAAATAGAGGGTAGGTACATTCAGTTTAACAAAACTGCTTTCCAAGTACGCCCTCTAGAACGACATAACAAGTTTGTGATATACACAAATACAAGGAATATATAAAAATATAACATTCATCAAAACTTAACATTGACATATTTGACATAATATAGAGTACAAACATAGGGTAGGTGCAGGGAATTGGAGACCCTTAAGCACATTTACATAATTTACATAAACATGAAAAATGTTACACATACAGAAAGTTTTGTATTCTCATCAGTAACTTCTTCTCTTTGTTTGGTAACAAAAGTGTGGGCATGATGTAACTGATTAAAAAGATAACAATGATTAATGACGTCAGCTCCAAAGGTCTCTCGTTAACTACATGTGCAGGTAATAAGGGACAGTTACAAATCAAGACATTTTAAATACAATTTGAATTAAAATGGGAATGTTATGGTTAGTTCAAACACTTTTTGAAAGAAAGATATGCAGCCAATGAATTTACTGTAATTTTGAAACGATTTTAAAACAATGTGGCCCAAAATATTTCTGTGCATGGACAATTAACCAACCAACATCGGGTCATTGCCTATCCTCGGCATACTCGACATTCACAACAAACGACCCCATCTCTCTCTCTCCTCAAACTTCTCTCCTTCATTGTTTTCTATTAACCTTCCCTTTTCTCTCTTCTAGCATGTAGTTGTATGATGATTATTGTTGTCTCGCCGAAATCGGACTCTCTTAAATTTCATTAATGTATTACATGTTACTATAAATAATATGTTTATTTAATTATGATCATTCCATTCCCTGCTCTTTCTCTCTTCCTTTCTCTTTTTGTACCTCCTCTTTTCTCCCATCCTCTCTCTCTCTCTACTCCACTCGCTTGATCACTCTGAGCTATATAGCTCTTGAGCTTCTTGAGCTATATACCTTCCTCTGCTCTTGTATATCTTCTGCTATTACATCCTTTCACGTATGGAACATAAACGAACGCAAAATAATTCTGCTGTATTGTCATTATGTTACAGATTTCGTAATACTATTGTACATGTATATAATTTACATCACTGCACCTTTGTAAATTGACCCTTTCAGCCTTTTGCTGCTGGTTGATCATTATATACCAATAAATGAATAATAATAATAATAATAATAATAAAATCTGGGACCTGGTGTCCCCATTACCTGCACACATTTCTGATCAGACACCATTCATAATGTGCTGTGCAAAACCCATTCAAAACATCCAATGGCCATAAGTTTTCTGTGATGGTTGGCACACTTCATACACTTCATTTTAGCACTACTTTTTAAGAACCACCCCTAAATATATGCATACACCACAACATTCAGTGAAAATTGTGTTTTTTATATCAAAGCTAAATTTTTCGATCAAAATTAGTTACCTTGGTTAATGTTGCCAATTTTCTCGGAGAAACAGCCCAGTCTTCGAAATGAATTGGATATATGCAGTAGTGTTGTTAAAGGCCACAAATTGCGCTATAGCAACATTGGAGCCAACACGGACAGACAGTGATTGGTTCAAGCTTGGTAATCTCCAATTCCCTGCGGTCTCCAATTCCTTGCACCTACCCTATATAACATAAGAAAAATAAGTATACCGGTAAAGGGAAATAAGAACGGAGATTATACTATAACTAGCAGGACCCGCGGGATTCTAGAGGGGGGCGAGGAATGTAAATAGATATAGAGACTCTATAAATTAAAACCACCAAGAACTTTATTTGCCATTCATAAAAAACAAAACTCTACCGGTAGTTATTCTTTAGGCCTCTTTCACACTGGAACTGCGTATAGTTGCGTAGTGTGGCGTACCGACTACGCATAAATTAGGCTGCGTATTAATGGAAAAAAATGTTGCTTCACTATTTACAGTAGTCCTTGCGTAGGTTATGCGTAGGCTGGCGTACAGGTTTGCTTATGGTTGCTTACGATTGCTTACTGTGTGGAAAGCTTTTACTGCTCTGTCGATCTGGCGTAGGGTAGCGCACTGTTGCGTAGGCATGGCGTACAGTAGCGTAGTGTTGCGTAAAAAGGCGTATTTTCTGTGTCAAGTTTCTACGCCGAAAGTACGCGATTTTTTGTTGTTGAATTGTTTGCGTCCATCTTGCGTACCCTTTTGCGTCCCTCAGCATATAGTAACGTAGGCCAGCGTAGTTGGTACGCAACACTACGCAAATCTTCGTATGGACCCCACGCCAATTAGTGACCTGCCAGTGTCACAAATAAAGTATTAAAAATATGCTCATCTAACCCTAATTAAATGCCTAAAACCCCTGAGCTTTCGGGGGTTTATAGCCCCTTGAAACCCGTGGACCCCACGCCTATATACACTCAACCCGCTGCGATCTAACTGACCCCCCCCCCCCCCCCCACTTTGAAAAACGTTTCTTGGAACCTTCATGTAACATGCAAGAATGGTGCATGGTGATGCAGATTTTTTTCTGCACCCCCCCCCCCTCCCTCCAAACAATTTTACTCATTACGCAACTGACTGTTTTGCAATGCATGAATTCACATGCTTCTGTCTGGTTGATATTGAACTATTAATATGCAAATATACAATTCATAACCTTATTTAATGCTTTCTTGTAATTTACTGTAAATATAAGAAACAAATTGTATGGCACTTCGGCCCGCACACTGTTGTGTTGACGGGTTCTTCGATGGATGGATAGACCATGGCCTTAATACGGATGGACATTCAACGTGATTCTTTCTTTGATCCAACCATAGTCGCCGCCTTCTGATTATGCGTAAGCATTTTCGGTCATTGACAAAGGAGCAGTTTCCCTCTCTTGGGTTTTCTTTGGATGGTGTGCTCTGTAAGAGTGTGTCTTAAATAAAAGCATCCTTAATGGGGAGCAGCAAAGTTGAAAAGTAGACGATTTTGGTGATATGAAATGTATGATTACTGATTCGCAAACTTTCACACACACCTATGACCTTAAAACAAAATTAGAAGGCCATGATCTGTATCAGCCCTGTGCGTTGTAACTCTGGAATATTATGAGGAAATAAGGGGAAACGGGATTTTAAATCACAACCAAAAAATCCAAAAATAGCCTCTATCTGGTAATATCAACATGTTTAAAAAAAAAAAAATACATGTACAGTATACACGGAACAACAATTTGCGATCA